TTACTATTGGAGGTGCACAGGTTTACACTATCTGAAGTGATGTCTTCCAAAAAGAGTGGGGGAGGTGCAGCAGGAAAGGGCACTAATGTACCACCGATGGATCCTGAAGAACCTAGCCGAAGGTCCTCTGTAATATCCTCTCCTGACAGACCAGAAGTGACTGGGTAGTCTGAGCTGAGCTGCTGTGTCTCTCTGGCATTGTGGCTGCTTCTGGGGCTTCTGCCTCAACATATGTAACCAAGGATGATCTTGCTTCAGCCTTAGCGGGTTTAGAAGATAAGATCGCTGGGATGATTGCATCAGTTTCTCAGGGGACTAAGAAGTGGGGTAGATCCCCGTCACTAAAATCGCCAATCTTGGAGCAGGAATGGGTGGAGCCTGAGGATGAGGAAGAGCTGAAGGAAGGTTAGGCAGTAGAATTTCTGTCTGAGGAGGCACAGCCTGAGGAGAAGCAGGAGGTCTCTGCCTCCCAATCTCAGAGTTTTTTAGTCCAAGACCTCAATGATATGGTACAGTCTGGATTCAGGCTACTTCCGATAGAAACCTCTGAGGTTACTTATTCTTCGATGGGCTCTTTGAAGCTTTCACAGAGTACTCGGGCCTATCCGGGGCATCCTCTTGAGGAGCAAATTATGTATGCTGACTGGGATCACCCAGACAGGGTTTTTGTTCCACCAAAGAAATTTTCTGTTTTGTACCCAATGGAACAAAGGTTTGTTAAGAAATGGGGGTTGCCTGTAGTGGGTGCAGCTGTTTCATCCCTGAATAAATCTTTAACATGTCCTGTGGATAATGAACAGGCTTTCAAGGACTCAGCAGATAAGAAGCTGGAGTCTCTCCTTAAGGCCTACTTCTCCCTGGCAGGTTCTGCCACACAGCCAGCTGTAGCAGCTATTGGCATTTGCCAGAGTCTTTCTGACCGTGTCAAGCAACAGATTAGAAGACCATCAGTGCAGGGGGAATACTATGCCGAGGATTTGGAGGAAGTTTTGCATGCTTTGTGTTTTGCAGTTGATGATCTTAAGGATTCAATTCAGCAAATTTCTTGCTTGGCCCTGTTATCAGTGCACATGTGCAGTGTTTTGTGGCTGAAGAGTTGGTCAGCAAAACTGCCATGCAAAAAATTGTTGGCAAGATTTACATTTCATGGGGAACGGCTGTTTGGGGAAGATTTGGACAAATATATCCAAACGATTTCAGGGGGTAAAAGTACTCTTCTGCCCTCTAAGAGGAAATTCAAATGCCCTTCTTTTAAGGTGTGAGGGCCTTTGGTTGCTGGGCGCTCATCTACCAGGCAGTCGTTTCGCCACACACGTTTACAGCCCATGGCATTGTAGCTGATCTCCCTGGACATGGATAAAGAGAAAAAATGATCAAAGACTGCAACTAACTATTGTTCAAATGGTGGATAAAGAACCTCGATCAACTTCCAGACAAATTCAAGCTGACCTTCAGGCACAGGGTACAACTGTGTCAGCCTGCACTATACGTCACTATCTTAATGAAAAGGGACGCTATGGTAGGAAGACCCCACAACTGACACAGAAACATAGAAAAGCCAGATTGGAGTTTGCCAAAACTTACCTGAGAAAGCCAAAATCCATTTGGGAATATGTGCTGTGGACAGATGACCGCACAATTGTCAGTTAAAGCAATGCAGCACAGTATTGTAAAAAATAGCCTGGTCAGGAAGGGGGGTAAATCTTCTGGAGGGGTGTAAATAAATATGAACAATGTGACCCCTGTGTAGACTTGCTGAACATGAAAGAATTTCACAAAAAAATGTGTTTTATTTTATCACGTAAACGATGGACTTCTCTACAGTAAAATGCTAATTTAGTGGCATTATGGTGAATGGAAAACTGACAAGCTTCTTTATGGATTCTCATAAGATGTTCATGAAAACATGGAGACCTGAATGACATACAATTGTCCACAAATTTTTGAAGTGAATCACAACACTTTTACACTTGTTTAGAAATATGAGCCCTGAGGTAAGCATCTCTCTTCTTATTATCTCCCTTTTTCTTGCCATTTTCCTTTACTTCACTTAATGTCTATTTTCTGGCTTCATTTTCCATTGTTTCCAAGCTTACTGCACCTTAAAAACCAACTCCAACCAACTTCAACCAAGCCTTTTTGTTGATAGAGTCAGAACTTGTGAAAAGTTTGGTTGCTTTCTATTCCAACCAGGAACAAGGATGAGTGGGAATGGGTAGCACTGAGATTGAAAGACAAAAGAGAGCAACAAAAACCTGACAGATGTGCTTATCCTTACCAATCTGCTAAATAAATGTATTTTGCATAATATACAGGATCTGTTTCTGTTTGGTTGGTATCCTATCACTTTCTGTCCTTGTCACTGGGACAGGAAGTGAGGGCAAATTTCCCCACCTGGGAAAACCTAACAAAGCTTCTAACCCTTTGTCAGAAGTTAGGGTTTGCCTTCCATCTCTTAACTTCATTTACTAAAGCTGCTAGTAAAGCTGACCATATATTATGCAAATTTTGGCCAGTTTCTAATTAAATAAAATTCACTACATGGGTGGCTTTGTTGCCAATCTCCTGCCCAACATCCTTCGATTGAAGAATCAAAGGAGCCGGGCATAAAAGTGATAGCATCTGATTGGACAGACAGATATTCTGACAGGCACTGTTGCCAGCTGTCAGCCTACTTTAGGCACAGTGGAAGATTCATTTATCTGTACTATAAAGTGTTAACTAGTTGCCGACCGCAGATAGCCAAATGACGGCTGCACTGCGGCTGGCCAGTTCTGAGTGGACGTCATATGGGGCCTCCCAGCACCCGGCGCGCACCCGGCGATCTCGCCGGGGGCGCGCACCCGGCGATCTCCGTGATCGCTGTGTCCTACGGACACAGCTGATCACGTGATGTGGTAAAAGGCCAATCACAGCGGCCTTTTACCACGTGATCAGCGGTGTCCAATGACACGCTGATCAGAGGGAAATGCAAGTGCCGGTTCTCGGCTGCACTTTCCTCACGCTGTCAGATCGTGAGGAAAGTACTGCCGAGAACCGGCAGTTGTCAGAGCGGGGATCGGCACCGATCATCAGGGCACTGATGATCAGTGCCCTGATGATCGGTGCCCAGCAGTGCCACCCGCAAGTTCCGCCCACCTGTGCCCAGCAGTGCGCCCACTAGCTCCGCCCACCTGTGCCCAGCAGATCACCCACCTGTGCCCAGCAGTGCACCCACCTGTGCCACTCTGCAGTGTCACACACCTGTGCTCAGAAGTGCCACCTACCTGTGCCCAGCAGTGCCACCACCTGTGCCCACCTGTGCCCACCCACCAGTGCTGCCCACCAGTGGCACCCACCAGTGCAGCCCAGCAGTGCTACCAGTCTGTCCCACCAGTCAGTGCCCAGGGATTGTGCCAGTCAGTGCCGCCAGTCAGTGCCCAGCAGTGATGCCAGTCAGTGCCGTCTATCAGTACCCATCATCAGTGTCACCTATCAGTGCCGCCTATCAGTGCTGCATATTAGTGCCGCCTATCCGTGACACCTCATTAGTGCTGTCTATCAGTGCCGCCTATCCGTGCCACCTCATTAGTACTGCCTATCAGTGCCCATCAGTGCTGCCTCATCAACGTACATCAGTGAAGGAGAAAAAATACCTGTTTGAAAAATTTTATAATAGAAACAAAGAAACTTTTTTTTTTTTCAAAATTTTTTGCACTTTTTTTATTTATAGTGCAAAAAGTAAAGCGCCCAGCGGCGATTAAATACCACCAAAAGAAAGCTCTATTTGTGAGAAAAAAATGATCAAAATGTCATATGGGTACAATGTTGCATGACCGCGCAATTGTCAATCAAAGTGCGGCAGCGCTGAAAGCTGAAAATTGGCCTGGTAAATAAGGGGGTATAAGTGCCTGGTAGGCAAGTGGTTAATGAAGGAAACTGTTAGATTTTTTAGTTTAGGCTGCAGGAAGAAAGTATAATATCTAACTCTGTATAGAGAGCTAAATTCTCAAAGCTTGGCTTTATCATCTTACAGCACTGCGTGTTTGTGACTGTACAACCTCATTCTGAATAGCTGACAGTAAAATGACAGATCAAGATTTTGCCTTCTATTCATAATTAAAGGCTAAGTTAATCTTTGGAACATGTTACATGTTCCACCCACATTTAGGGTGAAACATGTAAAATGAACAATGGAAAAGAACGCTCCAGGTGAGTGAATGAACTCACAGCCCATCCACACATATCAATTGGTGCCGGCTCGATCCCTGATCGTAGACACTTGTAGAAACAGAGAAGGCTGGTCTCACGTCAATAAAGTTGTGCATAAAACATTATTTATTGGATTCTTCAGAAGGTAAATAAAACAGACATTGCAGCTCCAATAACAGACACAGAATAGTAAACGTGTTTCACACAAAAATGTGCTTAATCATTACTTCTCTGTTTATACACGAGTGAAAAGATCTAACATGTTCCAGCTCCTGCCCCCCTCCTCCTGATCCCCCCTCCCCCTTGTGACAGCGGGTGGGGTTTTTTTTTTCCCTGCACCCGCTGTCAGCAGTGCGGCTGTGTGGGGCTCCACCCACAGAGCCATGTCATTCATTCACAAAGTCCTGTAAATGAAGAAACTACAAGTACCATCCACCACTGTGGCAGACAAACGTGTAGTTTCAATGGACCGCTGGGGCGCTGATGAGCGTTCTTATATTCCACTGAAGTGTCCTCTGGCTTTCAAACAGTCTGCACAGAGGTACAAGCTGAAAGCCAAAGGACATGTCTGCAGGAGCCCACATTACACCTGTGACCTGCTGGAAAAAATAATAAATGCGTTTTTTCCTGCAAAAATATGTGTATTTTTATTATTTTTTCTATAAACTTATCCTGTGAACTTATCCTTAACCGGTTCCCGCCATCCTATAGCAGAAATACTGCTACAAGCTGGCAAGGCTACGCAAAATCACGTATATATACGTGATTTTGCATTTCCAGGTAGGGGGCGCGCATGCCATTGGCAGCTACAGCTGTCGATTACCGGCCCCGGCTGGAGATTGCGATCGCCGAGGAACAGTGACAGGGGAGACGTCTGTGTGTAACAACACAGATCTCTTTCCTGTCAGCACCGACATGCTGCTTTGTATTGCTCTGCATAGCAATACAAAGCAGTATGTTTCCCTAGTAAAACACACACAGCACACATTAAAAAACAGCACACAGCACATAGGTAAACCTTTGATTGCCCCACATGTTATCCCCTTCCTGCCCAGTGTCATTAGTACAGTGTCAGTGCTTTTTATTAGCACTGATCACTGTATTAGTGTCACTGGGGATGTCAGTGGCAGTTTGTCCGTTACCCTCCAGTGTCAGAATGCCCACCGCAGTCCCGCTATAAGTCACTGATCACTGCCATTACTAGTATAAAAAAGATAAAAATTCTAGTATGTATAACGCCATTTGCATTTATTGGGATTTTTTTAGCAAAGCAATGTAGCAGAATACATTTTGGCCTAAATTTATGACAAAATTTGATTTTTAAAGTTTTTTCACTGGAAATGTTTTATAGCAAAAAGTCAAAAATAGTTTTGTTTTTTTTTCAAAATTGATGGTCTTTTTTTCGTTTATAGCGCAAAAAAAAACCAAAAAAAAAACAAAAAAAAACCCACAAGTGATAAAATACCCCCCCCAAAAAAGCTCTATTTGTGGGAAAAAGGGATATAAATTTCATTTATGTACAGCGTTGCATGACTGCGCAATTGTCAGTTAAAATAATTCACTGCTCCTAGAAGCTAAATAGAAGTGTTATCCTATATGTCCATACACAACTTCTTTAGACTATTAGCATTTTTTGAGCTTCAGCAACTAGGAAGAAAAAAAAATTGTTTTGTAGAGTTTTTTCGGAGCATTTTTCCAGCAGAATAAAATGCTAAACGCTACTAAAAACCACTATTACAAGCGTTTTTTTATCCACTGTTGAACTTAAAAAACGCTAGTGTGCATGGAGCCTGAATCTGACATAGATGACTAGGGTTGAATGGCCTGCCAATACAGATGCCGGTGTGTATTTGTATTTTGTGATGACAGGAGTTATTATTATTTATTATTATTATTATACAGGATTTATATAGCGCCAACAGTTTGCTCAGCGCTTTACAATATAAAGGGAGACAATACAGCAACAATACAGTTCAATACAAGAGGGTTAGGAGGGCCCTGCTCCTCGGAGCTTACAATCTAAGAGATTGATTTGTGTATACATATTTCTCTTACTGTAATGATGTTTGACGTTTGAGCCTTGACGCTTGTTTGCAGGGCTGGATCGGGGGGGGGGGGGGCTGCTGGGGTGAGCTGTGCCCCTCCCCCCCCAGATTTTGATCTTGCCCCCCCAGGACCAGTGGCAACAGCAGGGTGAACCCTATAATGAAGCACTGAAGCCCAGCCCAACTACCACAAAAGAATAAAATGAACGTTTGTTGAAACTTTGCACCCCCAGATCAGACAGGCTAGATCTGGCCCTGCTTGTTTCTAACTTTTTTTTTTGTATAACAATAAAACTTGATTATACAAAAAACTCCATTTCTATTCATTTGGATGGCGACAAACAGAATATAATGATCGTTAATGCATGATCTTTTCTGCCTCCCTTGTTTAGTGTTCAGAACTTTAATAAGAACTGACTGAAACTAAAGAAGTTAGGCGCCAGCTGTAATTTTTTAGAAGCATTGGCTACCTGGCTCCAGGGATTTCTCCAGCCCCGTATTAGTCTGTTGAGGAACAGAAAAAAAAAGTTGTGCAATGTGTGTGCCATATGACTGGCCAATGGAAGACATTCACAGAAATAATGAGAACACACTTTCCATGTTCACATAGGAGGCTGCTTAGAGGATAGGGATTTGGACTTGGTGTGCTCTTCTCTGCTGCCGTGCTCCTTGTGTTTCTGCTCTACATGGAGCCACGCCGAAAGCAAACCACAAAACACTGGACACTGCAAAGTACCTAAGTCCCCCCCCCCCAAAGAGATGCAAAAAGAAGCTTTATTGACAAACCTACAATTTTCGCCCGGTTGCCTTTATCCGCATAGAAAAAAAGAGTATATTATTTTCCTTAGACTCAGTGTAATATAATGCACAAGGCAGTACACTCTGTACTCTTTTAAACAAAGTGAATTCTAGAGTGTTTGTTATACTTTCTAATCTAATTACGGAGAAGCTGAACGTAACTTGCAGAAACATTAGTCCTGGCTGACTAGAGTAGACGACTCCATTAACCCATCGCACAGAGGCAATTTGTGAAGGGTTAAGTCCTGGCAGCGGCGGCAGCTGAATGAGAGAACAGGGTGTGGATCTGCTTTCTGTGTGTTTTTTCCCCTTTTTGAGCGGCGTCCAGACTCGGTGGAAATGTGTGCCGCATGCACCATATGATTTAAATCAGCAGTCTTTTTGGGCTGTGAGATAAATAGCGCTTATGTTCTCACTGCCAGCGCTGGGGCAGGCTTGGCTCCCACCGAGCTGCAGCCTTGGCTGTACCACCCCGAGGGCAGAAACTGAGCTCAAATATTCCACATGGAACTCAAAACCACACTGCTAACTCACAACAGGCTCACTCTGTCCCTGTGCCGTCCTTACGCTCCCCCCTACCCTGTCTGTCACCCGCACCCCCTCCCTGCTATTTCCTTCGCTGGCTCTTTCTCTTTTTCCACATCCCTCCTTATTCTCAGTCTCTACTTCTCACTTTATAGCTATTCTGTCTTGCGCTTTCTCCTTCTATGTCACAGACCTGAAATGCCTAGGTGTAAAAAAAAGGAATACAATACTTCCCTTCTCCCTCTGCTCACCCAGAACACCATGGTATATTCTGGGTCCTTTAAGCTCCATTCACACTTGTGCGACTCCAAAGTTGCACTGGAAATCGTGGGACTTTGGAGCCGCACAAGTGTGATGGAGCTTAAAGGACCCAGAATATACCATGGTGTTCTGGGTGAGCAGAAGGAGGAGGGAAGTATTGTATTTCTTTTTTTACACCTAGGCATTGCAACTTTAAGGCCTCATGCACACTGGGCGTTTTAAAAAACGGCGGCAGTGTTAGCTGTAAAAAGTTGCGTTACAAACACACATTTTTCTGCATTTTTCAACTTTTTTGCATTAGCGTTTAGCCACATTTTTCCACATTGACTTGTTTTACACAAAAAGAAAAAAAATAAACATTTTGGCTCAAAAACACAGGTTTGCCGCAGTTTACTGCATTTGACCGTGTTTACTAGCGTTAGAGCATTTTTACAGCAAAAAAAAACACTTCTCTTGAAACCCACAAATTCTGTTTTTTTTTTCTCAGCCAAGAACACACCATGTGTGCATGGACAACTAAGATACCATGCTGGGTTGTTTACTGGCTGTAGAAAAAAATGCCAGAAGCCAAAAACAGCAGCTGTAAAAATGTCCAGTGTGCATGAGGCCTTAATGCGACTTTGATGCGACTTGAATGTCAGCGTAAAGTCGCATCAAAGTGGATCGCAGCAACTTTGAAAAAGGTTCCTGCACTAAACAGGTGCAGTTGAAAATAAGGGGCTGTGAATTGTCATGCAACTTTATGTCTCCAAAGTCGCATGATAAGTCGCACAAGTGTGAATGGAGCCTAATGTTTTGGTCACATCTGCGCATTCTGTGAACGTGTAGAATCGCACGTTTCTGCACGTGTTCACGAAAAACACAAGTTGTGCTTGCAGTGCCAAATTGGTAAAGGCACCCCAATGCAGAAAGCATACAAGTGTTTGTAATACACAAAAACACACAAACAACACAGTAACAAAATGCAGAAACCAGAATGCGGCAAACAGCTGCATGAGCTACTGGCTGTACCTGTCACAGGTAAGGTAACCCATTTAAAGCAACAGGCTGTGCTATGCATGTCGTACGGAAAACGTGCAAAAAGAATGTGCGTTTAAAATACGCTAGGTTTGAATGCAGCTTTAGTCCTTGTACATACATCAGGTGGCATTCTGCACAACTTTCAAAGACTTTCCTGCAAAAACAAGTGATAAAAACTGACGAGCTGCACATGGTGCTGCAGGTAATATTTAGCTAGTGCGACATTTCCATTCTACCTTTCACATGGGTGGACCGATTGGGTCCGCCTGTCCGTTTTTCAGGTGAACCCAATCAGACCATCTATTGTTCTCTATGGAGAGGAGGATTTAAACGAACATCCCTTTACACCAGCCTGCATCCGATCCACAACCAGATCTAGGGGTGTGCTGGGGCGGGCTGTGCCCCCCCCAGATTTTAGTTGTGTCACCCCCAAGCCAACCCTAACCTGCCACTATACTGCCTAAGCTGCCACTATACTGCCCTAACCTGCTACTATACTGCCACTATACTGCCCTAACCTGCCACTATACTGCCCTAACCTGCCACTATACTGCCCTAACTGCCACTATACTGCCCTAACCTGCCACTATACTGCCCTAACCTGCTACTATACTGGCACTATACCGCCCTAACCTGCCACTATACTGCCCTAACCTGCTACTATACTGCCACTATACTGCCCTAACCTGCCACTACTGCCCTATACTGCCCTAACCTGCCACTATACTGCCCTAACCTGCCACTATACTGCCCTAACCTGCTACTATACTGGCACTATACCGCCCTAACCTGCCACTATACTGCCCTAACCTGCTACTATACTGCCACTATACTGCCCTAACCTGCCACTATACTGCCCTAACCTGCTACTATACTGCCACTATACCGCCCTAACCTGCCACTATACTGCCCTAACCTGCTACTATACTGCCACTATACTGCCCTAACCTGCCACTATACTGCCCTAACCTGCCACTATACTGCCCTAACCTGCCACTATACTGCCCTAACCTGCTACTATACTGCCACTATACTGCCCTAACCTGCCACTATACTGCCCTAACCTGCCCACTATACTACCCTAACCTGCTACTATATTGCCACTATACTGCCCTAACCTGCTACTATACTGCCACTATACTGCCCTAACCTGCTACTATACTGCCACTATACTGCCCTAACCTGCTACTATACTGCCACTATACTGCCCTAACCTGCTACTATACTGCCCTAACCTGCTACTACTATGCTGCCACTATACTGCCCTAACCTGCTACTATACTGCCACTATACTGCCCTAAGTTGCCACTATACTGCCCTAACCTGCTACTATACTGCCACTATACTGCCCTAAGTTGCCACTATACTGCCCTAACCTGCTATTATACTGCCCTAACCTGCTACTATACTGCCACTATACTGCCCTAAGTTGCCACTGTACTGCCACTATACTGCCCTAACCTGTTGCTATACTGCCCTAACCTGCCACTATACTGCCCTAAGTTGCCACTATACTGCCACTATACTGCC